TCAGAAGGCTAAATATGATGGCAAATGAAGATACGGAGCAATCACTGCCTTGGGGACTGTCAAGAGGGAAGGAAGAGGGGCTGAAGGAATAATTGGCGTATTAGCCTAACCATAGTGTATCTGTGTCTCTCCCTCCCAGGAGTGATTCTGTACATATTACTAGTGGGGTACCCTCCCTTTTGGGATGAAGATCAGCACAAACTCTATCAGCAGATCAAAGCCGGAGCCTATGACGTAAGGGCACTTTCTTGCTGAGTACCTGCATGGGTGTAGAAGCCATCCAAAACATGGCACTATCTTACTTGGTGTCCAGCAGCAGGCCCCAAGCTTCTGTGCAAAGCCATGTTTGGCATGTTCATACACCTTGTCTTCACTGCCTGGGATACAGTCCTGTTTGGGGCTACTGAAAGGATATGTGGAAAGCATCACAGTGGGCACCAAGACATTGCTGGCCATTAGGGAAATGCAGGTGGTGGGAAATGGTGTCTTCTAGTCATTTACCACAGTGTTGCAGATGTAGCCAATGCTAGCTTTTTCAGGGGAGCAGAGGAAAGGTAGAATGGAGGAGCTTGTCTTTATCAAGGTCTAATAAAGGGGACATATTCTATAGGATAATAGCTTAAATTATGGCCTTTGGTCTCCTCTGTGCCATAGTGGGATCTTGTCCAGCCATGGAGCCCAGTGAGAAGGCTGAATGGTGGGGGCTGTTGGAGGGGTGGCTTTGTGGTGGGGATCAGCATGGTGGGTTGGAGGCTCCAGTAAAAAGCCAAGCAGTTCATGGAACACTTCTTAGAGCATGGAAAAACTGAGGTGTAAAAGGTGCCTGAGAGAGGAATAGCAAGGAGGTTAGTACTGGGGAGCAAAGGTAGTGTAAAATGTGGTTTGGGCACCACAGCTTGAATGTTTGACATAAATTCTTCCATGTAAGAAGCGGCTCAAGAGGGAAGAAGCAACTCCTGGAAATCCTAGCTCAAAGCTTGTGGGCATGAATATGGAGAGGAAGTTGGGGAGTTGATTTTGTAGGCTGTCTTGTGATTTGTATTAAAGAAAAAAAAAAGGTGAGGGTTCTGCTGGACTCCAGTTACCTCTCAGCATCTGTGCTTGAGACCATGAAAGTGGCTGTACTGGTGAGAACAAAGGTCTGCCTAACCCTGTGTCCTGGCTCAGTGGCTTCCTGAGGGAAGGGAAAGTGATGTCTTTGTACTTGATACCCTTAAATAGACTTGTGTTCTTCTCTTGCCTTCCTGCCCCTATAGTTTCTGTGTTGTTTGTTCTTATTTGAAGTGGTTTTGCACTAATTATATCAATTGGGATTTTCAAAGCACTTCAGGGGTTAAATGTCTGTTTCTGTAAGTCATGAGGAGTGAAGTGCCTGATACCTCCTTATCTGTCTATTGTTTTTGAATTCTTACCTTCAGTGAAGAAGTTGCAGTAGATTCTTACAGTTTTGCCTGGTAGAAAACTGCACAAGCTTTACTGATGTACGTGCCCCAGTATCCTTACCCCAGCACTGAGGGGACTGTATGCACCAGACCAGTCTGCTTTTCCCCCTTGATCATAGAGGAAGTGGCAACAGTGAATTGGACTTTGTGCTGTTGGATAAGGGTTTTACAAGATATTACCATGAATACTTCACAGTTTGGGTGCAGGGAAAGTGTCCTGGCTTGAAAGCTCAGTATCATAATTTTTGAGTAGTCTCTTGCAATATTTGCAGTACAAATTGCTGATGCCTGCAAATGCAGAAATAAGATTACATGCAAATCAAATGTGGCAGATGTATTTTTATGACCCAACTGACTAAAGCACACAATGCAGGAGAAAAGAGATGGGATAAACTTTTTCTAGATAATGCAATAGTGTAAGGAAATGTTCTCAGGATAGGTCAGTCTTCCTCCCATTAAAGACAGGGAGCTTTACCCAAACAGCACATTTGTCCTTGTGTTCTCAGGTTCACCTGTAAATGTACAGTAGATTTATAGGACTTAATCTCAGCATGTTGTCATCCATACCACATGCAAGTGTCTGGCAGATGGTGTCTTTGTCATTACTGGATTTATAGGAGAGAGCAGTTACTCCTCATGGATGATCAGCAGCTGAAATACTTGAATTCTTTTGTTTCCATGTTTCTATATTCCCATCCACTATTACATCTCTCTTGCTCCCCAAGTAATGATCTTAGTATGGTAGATGGTGGCTAACAACTTGCTGGTGGATTGCTACACCTAAGTGACTGGTATTGCTCCAGGATATTGTGCATTATGGTGGGAAAAGTATACCTGGTGGGATGTTCTCTGTTAGTGGATTTTGCTTTCATGTAGTTTTGCTGTAGTTAAGTGTTTGTGATTTTGCATATGCTGTTACAGCTTTTAGTATGCTGGAGAAAGAGCCAAGTAGGGTAAAAAAAAAAAAGATAGTGTTTTCTATGTAAGAATTCAGTTAAAAAGATCTGTGACTACATTTTTGACTATTGAGTGTGAAAGAAATGTAAAGGTCTGAGTGATTCCTAAAAGGTTTTAAATTCTTAATCTTCCTGCATATATCTGGTGAATGGTACAGGTGTGTCCTGCTATCTGGTACCATTCATTTGCTGGATTTGGTATGATTTTTGTTCAGCATGGGTTTCCACATAAATTGGTGGGTTTTGCAAATGCATCAGCCCTGGTATCAAAAGGGCAAAAGCTGGAATTCATCTGTGTTGGGGGGAGAATCTCTTCTGCTAGTAGAAGATGTTTTCAGTTCATCATCTGTTCCTTCTTCCTCTTTTAGTTCCCATCACCTGAGTGGGACACTGTGACTCCTGAAGCCAAGAATTTGATCAACCAGATGCTGACGATAAACCCAGCAAAGCGCATCACAGCTGACCAGGCTCTCAAACATCCATGGGTCTGCGTAAGTGTTTTCCTTATTAGTGGTTGGTTTGTGGTTTCCCCTCAACTGACATGTCAAGAAGAATTAAAGGACCTAGAAGATTTTAAATGTTTCTAATTATGTTTTTTTGAATATTGACCTTCAATAACACAACTTTGTCACGCTGTGGTGCTTTTGTTGCCACTGTAGGAAAAAAAATCCCTTAGTCTTTTGTATGTTTTGTCAATGTCCATAGTTTTTAGTTTACTCCACATCTCTTCCAATCCATATCACTCTGAAATGTCAGATGGAGTTTGGCATCAGAAAAAGTATTTTAGGATCATTTTGTTCTTTGTCTCTGCTCGGTTTATGGCAGAACATCTTTGCAGTATTTGGGACATTTCTACTCTGCTGCAGCTTAACTGGCTGTAAACTTGAAATCAGCAAAAAATCTTTTGCTGTTCTGTGTATGTAGTCTCTGCCTTGCCAGACCTCACACTTAAGTATTTTTCATCTTTTGCAGAGTTGGCAAGGAAACCCCAGAATGTAGCTGAGAGTGGGTGTAGGGCAGCAGTGCTGCACTTCTCTCTCTGAAGGATGAAATAGTTTCACCTAAGTCTAACCAGATGCTCTTGTAATACCATAGCACACTTGCGCTTTCTGGGATGTGTCTAGTGTGTTCCTTTGCTCATTTGTTCTTGTGGTGTTTTTGTCCTTCCACCACAAATCAACAGATTAGCAATTTAAACTTATGTGAGCATCTGTGTAACAGGAATGCACTGTTTACTGTAAAGTGATGCAAGTTCCTTGGAAGTCAAAACTTCACACTGGCTGAGACTTCACATCTTTTTTTATTCTCCTTGCATGCTCGTAATCAATAGCAGTTCCTGTATATTTAACGTTTGTTCCAATGCCTGTAGCCAAAGCTGTATTATGATAGCCCACTCCCTGTGGCAACATAATATAGAACTGTTCAAGAGAGGCTTTTCCTCTCCTGAGTTATGGGGAGTTCAATTTCACTTCACAGCCATGTCAGCCTCGTGCTGAAACTGCCTCCTGTGGAGTCTGTTATTTCCATTTGCCCTGCAGTCCCTGTGTGTGCAACATATATTTTGTTTCTGGAGGTGTATCTCCTCTGAAGTCAGTGTGGTAGGAGATCTTAAAAGTTTATCTGAGGAACTGAGTTTCTTGGCATCACTGAGCTCCCATTGAACAACTGGACACCACTGTCACTCCTAAGGAGTCTGGCTGAACAGTCACCACCAAAGTCGTTTGGGGACAGTTGGGCTACATTCTCCCACCACACTGCCATGTGTGCTGCAGTGGATGACTAGCTTTGACGACAGGATCAAAGCAGAGACTTCCCATGAAACTAGCTGAATATGAGCATGGTTTACAGTTCTTTTGGGTATTACAGAATTTTTTCCAAGAAGGAGAAAGTTAGTGGAGGCTTTGTACACACTGATCTGCCAAATTAGTAATTGACCCACTGTCCTTGTAAAGGGAATTCAGACTTGTGGCTCTATGCAAGAGCAACAGCTACTTTGGCATTAGGCATTGATTTCCTCATGTGCTCTAAATGCTTGGCAGCAGCTGTCTCTGATTTCCTCATGTGGTCTCAATGACTGCAACACTTCTGGGAAGTTATCTTCTTGCAACTGATGGGATCCCAGTCTGCTGTGGGTGACAGGTGTGCATCACTGGCTAGAGGTTATGCTCAGGTTTTTGTATGGGTGCAACAGAACTAGACAATCTTTACTCTTACACACTGGAAATCTATTTCTGCAAAACTGATGCAAAGATGTCAAGGTCTCTGCTAGTCAAGCACTTCCATTCAGGGAGTGCCAATGTCCAGGAAGGCTACTGCTCACTAGTATTCACTTACTGCTTGGAATTTCCCTTTAGAGCTGTAACTAGTGCAACCCAGATCTTTTCTGTAGTGCTTCTAACTCATTCCCCCATGGGTATGCTTGTTCATTTGGCTTTGTCTTCTTATTGTCTTAAATCATGTGTGTGCTTGAAAGGCAGAGAGCATTGATTCTCACCTTTACCTTAGTCATAGAGTTTCCTGCGCACAGTCTCGTAATAGCCAACCTTGATTTAACATGTCTTGATGGAAGTTCTGAAGTTGTGAACCAATTGCAATGTTTTGCAGTCATACAGTGGTGAGAGGCTTGGCCATATCAGTTTGCACGTCATGATTGTGTGCAGGCAGAACAAACTTCCCTGACTGATTTGGTTAGGGTATGTTGTTGATCTTCTGCTGTTTCTGTTTTTCAGCAACGATCCACTGTCGCTTCAATGATGCACAGGCAGGAGACTGTGGAATGCTTGAGAAAGTTCAATGCTAGAAGGAAGCTAAAGGTAAGTACATCTTAATTTGTCTTAAGTTTATTTTTAATTCTCTGAATTTGTGGTTAATGCCTTCCTCACAACAACTCTTTTTCATGACTAGCACACTGTTAGAGAGGTACCATATGTGATCCTCCAGTACAGGGTACTGAAGTAGTCTATTGAGAAGCTGAGAAGTTTCTTTCTCCAAAGCTTTTAAGTTTTCCATCCTTTTTCTGCTACATATTCACCCCTTCTTCTTTCTGCCAGAGAATTGAAATAGAGCAGCTAGTCCTGGGACTTTAATTCTGAACACTCTCTGCTTTCCATGACTAGTGTCATCAGTTGCCTGTAGTTGAGGCAAAGCCTCTGGCCTGTGCATGAAGCAGCTATCTTGAAAAGCTAGGAAGCAGCTAGTAACTCTTAGTGCCATTTTAGATTTCCTAGGCTACCCTGCCTGGCATCCAGCTGCCGTTCTAGAAAGGGCAGGACTCTGAGTGATCCCATGTCAGGCCCAACAGCCACAAGCAGGAATCCTGGCTGCACATCGACTTTTCAGGGTAGCATTGGTATCCTCTGCTTTGGCACCTGCTGCATTGTGTTCTACATGGGTTAGCCCAGTCGCTTTCTCAAGTGAGTGACACTGTTATCCCTGCTTTCTCTTCCCCACAGGGTGCAATCCTCACAACTATGCTTGTGTCTCGGAATTTTTCAGGTAAGTTCTCAGTGTTCCAATCCTTTCCTTGGTTTTGTTTTGTGGGAGTGAGTTGGAGGATATTTTAACCTTTTTGGGGTTGAGTAGGAGGAGAGAAAGTACTCTCACAGTTCATCACGGTGTAATGGTGGTCATTTTGCCTTGGCTAGTGACCAGTGTGAAATAGGCAATGATTTGTTTGGGGAGGAGCACATGGTGCTGTAGTCTGGTACAAAACAGAAATAAAGTCAACTGCCACAATTGTCTCATGATATTTTGCTAGCAGATTACTTTTGGGAAATTCTAGCTGGCATTGTTAGCTTTCCTGTCATAAACCAGGTCTCAAGAACTCTTATTAGGTAGCAGTGTTTCCTTTAGACCTGAGGCAGGGACAGGGAAGTAATATTGGTGAGAATAGGGACAGGAACTATTTGGGTATTGTATTACTTTGACTCATCAAAAATGGGTCTGAAGCATCTTGCTATTAGAGTTTTCCTTCTTGAAGTCTCAGAAGTGGTTTTCATCCTTTTAAATTTAATAGCTGGTAGTCTGGCTCCCACTCAACTGCATTACGTAGTGCATTTACTGAAAATGCAAATCTCAACATGCAAATCCATGCTTTTTGGAAGATGATTCTCTTGGCTCAGCACATCTATGTGACGCAGTCTTAGCTGTGTTCATTTCCATTTGGGTGGAAAACCTCTACTTGTAAGTGCTTTTGGTTTATGGGATTGTTGCTTTCTTTACCCTTTTTGCAATTTTTTTTTTTTATCTTTTAAAAGGCCAATCACTGCATGCATGAATCAGATTTTTATTGCACCTGACTACAGTTACTTTCATGTGAAAGTCTGCTGTATGGATTGTAAGTGATGATGAATGAAATGGAAGTGTATTAATTTCATCTGGCCATTTACTAATGGTGCATAGCAATATTTAAATTCTGGGTGATGTTACAATAGACTTGTAATTGGAATGAAAACCTCTGTGAAATGATCATCAGAACCTTCCAAGTGCATGTTTGTGCATACATTCTTTTGTGAAATTGGGGCAGCATTTTTAACCTGCTGTATAGTGATTTTTTTAAAAAAATAACAATGATGTGAAGCCATGCTACAATTAAGGGACAACCCTCAGCATCTTCAGAATGTTTTCTCCTTGGTTCTTGCTTTCAGATGAACCTGTGCCAGCCTGTCAGGACTATTTGCAGCTACAGCAATTTCTCTTTACTGCATTTCTGATAGTTTGGCCTTAAAGGGACAGAATGACTTTCTCCATTCACCTGTCCCAGGATTGTGCTATTACAGGACTTAAAAATTATACGCTGTTTTCTGAGATTGATTCCGAAATAACTGTTTGAGGAGCTGTGGCACAAGGACAGGGCTTCA